AAAACGTATAAAAACAAGGCTTTTTAATATGTTCTGAGATTTTTACAGTGTACTTGTAGCTCGTTCGGGGCTCATCGGTACACGCGAGGACATCGGTGCCGTCAGAAATGCAACACTCTGTCAGTAAAAGTGTTGTCTGAGTAACATTCCTCTGTACAGCTGCATACTTCTGCGTACTTCTCATTACAAGGTTATCTCAGAAGAAATATTAGGAACTCTGCCAGACTTTGACACCCGGGTGCACAAGTGCAGCGATGGACGGTAATAAAATACAAGTACTTTGGTACTGTACTAAAAAGTACACATTTTCTGCATGTGTACCAGGGGCGGCGTTAGGCCCGGCTACTTGGGCTGAAGCCCCGGATCTTTCATGGAAAGCCCCGGATCTAAAACGTGGAAGTAACATGCAGTACCAAAGTCCAACAGAGAGGGCGCAGCTGGCAGTAGTTTTTATGCAGCCTGCCTGAGCCTCCACCACTGAAGAAGAAGCCCTTCAGCAGCCGGCTTCTTCTACACTCTCTGCCTGAAACGCATGAGTGAAGATGGACATAAGGACGTTTTTTAGACCAAAAGTACAAAGACAGAAGCCCAGCTTTGATGAGACTGGTGCTGACTCAGGTTTGTGAGTCTTATTTGAAGATATTTGTTGTGCTGCTGGTTTGCCTAAAGTTAGCTTACTATCAGGTAAAGTTGTTGGAGAAAGAAAGGGAATATTTTCTATCATCTCACACTAAACACTAACAGGAACAATACTCTGCCCTGATTATGCTTATTATGTAGCTTCAGATTAAAAATTATGTGGTACAAGACATGTATGATGTTGACTAGTGCGTGTCACGTGTGTGTGCGCGTGTTCGCGCGCGTGCGTGTGCGCGCGTGTGTTAAGCCCCGGATGTTCTTCAGTTCTTAATCCGCCCCTGATGTGTACATTACTTAGGTCATTTTCTTGAGGCTGCAACATTTACAGTACAATTACTAAAAGATTTTAAAAGTAAAAGTACTTTAATTAGTGTTTTGTCCGACCTCCACCTCAAACCCGTTCCAATGGGCGGAGACCGGCAGCACTTTCCCTTATCCACGCCGGACTGCAGTTCAAAAAGTAACAGTACTTTAATTTGAGCTCCCCTGGTCTGACAACACACCTCTACACACACACAGTGCATATTTAAATGCAAGTTGAATACTTTTACTTTTGAGTAAACTTAAAAATGCGTACTTCAACACTTTTACTCGTCAGAAACCTCATAGATACTTTTATTTTTACTTCATTTTTTACTCCTTTGTCTAAAGTAAAAAAATAAAGTACTTCTTCCAGCTGCGTGTTGCTGCTGAGATTTTTACACCGAAACACGTTAAATTCATAAACATGTAATGTGAAGTTGGCCATGTTTTTAAAATGAGATCACACTAGCCGTTAGCTCGTCGGTCTCATAGGACCTAAACTCTATTTCTCCAAACTGAGGCCATTCAGACAGCTGGAACGGTAAGATCATAAAGTTTTAATAATGTTTATACAGAATCACACTTCAGAAATGCCAAATTTTACAATTTAGTGAAGCGTTGGGGATGTAGACGTTCAGATAAAAGCACAAAGAAAGGTTTGCAGTCACAAATAAAACTTCTATTTTGATTTTATCCTCGTGCGGCGTCACATGAGCGTCGAGTTAAATCTTTTATTATAAAACAAAAAGACGAATGTGACGAATTCTCAAGGTTAAAACTAACATCTCAACACAATAAGAGTCTGACTCCTAGAGATGTTTGTTCTGTTTGGGTTTATTCTATATGTGGTTTAGAATGACTCCTAGTTAAACTGACTGATTCAGTGACACACACACACACACACACACACACACACACACACACACACACACACACACACACACACACACACACACACACACACACACACACACACAAAACAAAACGTTTAAATTGATTTTGATCACCTTTGATCACCTGTTCATTAAAAAAATTCAGGAAAAAACCCATTTTTTTGTTTTCATCAGTTCCTTTTATGCCTAATCTGTTTGTTTTAAACGCATCGTTTGATTTACGTTCAGCAGAATCACATTAATAATCCAAGAGAGCCATTTGAGGGCAGCGACTTGTTTCTTCCTCTCCAGCAGCTCCTCCTCCTCCTCCTCCTACATACATGTGTGCTCACGGCGAGGCAGCTGGTACAGATGTCACATTGAAAGGTAAAATGGGTGAACTTTATGAGCATCGTGTGGGTGAGCATGCAGCAGACAAAGTGCTTTTCTTCAGGAGGGTGTGTGTGTCATTAGAGGTCTTTACAGTGAAGCAGGCATATGTCAGAGTATTACAATCACTTATTCATAAGGGATCCTGAATCACGAGGACTTCACTCTAATGTTTAAAAGCAGCAACAATCATTTAAAAAATGCTTTTTTTATAAAATGATCAAGAATTTATTAAAAAATGATTTTGCGAATTATTAAAGCAGCATTTTGGAGTTTAACTTCTTCATGGAATTACTGATTTTTTTCCTTAGAAATCCATAAACGTGATCCTCTGACCCTGTACGCGACACAATGTCAGCAGTGAGTCATTTCAGCCCCGTACGATTTGAACTGAACACCGCTCAGCATTAGCCAATAGGGTTAGACATCCGCTTACATACAGATGTCAATCACAGAGCGCATGTGTGCGCGCGTTTGAGGACGCCCCTACAAAATGCCACCAACTTGCATTTCTTGGTTCTTTTTAAACACAGAAAGGTTGTTCTTTACTTTGTTTGCTAACGTTTCAGCAACTTCCTGTAGCCATCCTCAGAGCTGTGACGCTGTTGGTGGGGCGTCGCTTCCTTCTCCGACTGTGTCATCGACGAGGAGGGTGCGAGCAGCAGAAGGCAACAGCGTCCTCTGCTGCCAGCAGGCAAACGGAGAAGGAAGCGACGCCACCAACAGCAGACCCCGTGCCTTCCTGCTTGACACTCAGCTTTAAGCGTTTGGGTTGGAGGTTAAACCACCAAATGTTCCTGAGCACGGCCACTGCTGCAGCTCACCGCTCCCCACGGGATGGGTCAAATGTGAGCATGAATTTCACCAGCCTGAAGATGACTATGGGACTTTATTTTCCAGAACTGCGCTGCTCTGGGTGGCTGCATGTTGGAGTAGCTCTGTTGACTATATGTAAGTTTTGCCTTTTCTTGGGCATTTTTTCTTCTAATTTCTCAAGAAAAACTGTATTTTTTTTGGACATTTTACTTTTCTGTTTCTGGTGCTGTGAAGCTTGGAGGATTTTTACTGCTATTTTTTTTCTTTTTTTCACTTTTTGAGCATTTGTTATGATGCGTAACCATGGCAACAAGCTGGTTTACAATCGGGAGCAGCTGATTAACATGGGAAAGGCTGAAATCATACCTCAACTGAAGCCACAAATCCCAAATGAGCTAAAACGCAAGAAGCGTGGATGCAGAGCGGGAGCAAAACGGAGACAGAGAAAGAGGAAATTCAAACCATCTCAAGATGGAGGAACTCCAAGCCCTTTCAAGGACTCAGCCAGAGTTTCGGCAGTTTCTGAACCGCTGGAGGAGATAATGCAAAGAAGGATTCTCCAGAGAATCAAGAAAATGATGGACAACCCTGAGCATTCTCTTCACAAGACTGTCCGACAACGGAAGAGTGTCTTCAGTCAGAGGCTTATTCAGTTTGGCTGCAACACTGACCGCTACTGGAGATCCTTCCTGCCAACAGCCATTGCAATATACAATAACTCTTTGATGACTTGATTATTATTATTATTCTGAGCTACTGCAGCAATCAATTTCCCTCTGGGATTAATAAAGTATTTTTGAATTGAATTATAAATGTGCCTCTCTAACAGGGCAGCTGCCCCCTCCCATGTTGGTCTAGAACCTCTCCTGCCATCAGAGTCTATAGCTGCCCACAGTTTAAAAACCTTCTCAATAGGACTTTTAGCATCCGTTTGTTAGAGCAATGGGCTGCACAGTGGTGTGGTGGTTGGCGCGGTTTCCTTTCAGCAAGAAGGTCCTTGGTTTACATCCCGACCTGGGTCTCTCCTCAAGAAGTTTGCATGTTCTTCCTGTGCATGTGTGGGTTCTCTCCGGCTTCCTCCTACAGTCTAAAAACACGAGTCAAGTTGATTGCTCTCTCTAAGCTGTCCTTAGGTATGTATGGTTGCCCTGCGATGGACTGACATCCTGTCCAGGGCGTACCCCTCCTGTTTGCCCAAAGACTGCTGGAGATGGGCGCCAGCCCCCTCCACAACCCTGCATGGATAAACGGGTAAAGAAAATGGATGGATGGATGTCTGAGGCAACGTTTTAGTCAGTTTCTTGTTACCATAGTGATCCCAATGAGCCACAAGCAGCAACTTCAACATTTCTGCTGATCAAGGTTTTTTTGCACTTTTTATTCATCAAATATTCAGCATTTCGCCTCCGATTGACGTTGTTTTGCCACTCTTCGATTACCAACTGTCTTTATTCCGTGGTATTATATGGAGATGTTATTTGAGAAAGCCTAAATTCAAAAGGAGCTTCTGATGAAACCTGAAAACACTCGGCAGCATTAGGACAAACGAACAGTCGCAGCCATAAAGGAGCATCCTCAGGCTGCAACAGATGGCGTGTCCCAAACTGCCCTGATCCCAACACCGTAAAGCCGAACCGCGGTTACATAAAGTCATCCCACAGAAGAACGACGCTCGACTCAAACGGCAAACCTGAAAAGTGCCGGGAAATTAACTGGTGATTATTTAAAGTCAAACATCGGAGCGTTAATACAAACAACCAGAAATCTTAGAGGAGACGGGAACGATGCGGCGAATAAAATCTAAAACTTTCCTCTTATTGTAATTTATAATCCTAGAATCCCTAAATGTTTCCTGTATCCCTGCCAGCGGGGTACTGATGAGACAAAAGGTCAGAGGTTAACCACTTTGTTTACCAATAACAGATAATGAATATGGATGCATGAAGGAAGACCAGGCATAAACAAACAGACATAATCATATTGGGTTTTAACTGGTTTTAATTAACCCTGATTACATCTTAATTACAAGTTTTGAAAAAAACAAAACAAAAAACAAAACATGAAAGAAGAGAAATTCAATGTTACATCAGAGTATTAACTCTCCTCTCTCCGTCCGAGTGTTACGTAACTTCTCTGGGGGAGAAGAGGTGAGAGAACAGAGCGAAAGAGGGAGAAGATAGATCTTTACACGGTAAAACAACATCTTTACTTTTAAAATCATACACCCGCTTCCAAAGAACACAGGAAAATATACGGGAGAGAGAAAATAAACAATATAAAATTAAAACAAGATAAAAACCGCTAAAGTCCCGCTCAGTCCCAGATGTTACGTCGCTGTCAGCATCAAAAATAATGTTACACATTTCACTTATTTTACATTTGTAGAAACGGAAACGACCGCTTCTCGGCAAGAAGGGTTTGATACAGGGAATGGGCGTCCAAGGCGACAAACACGGCACGAAGAGCGTCAGCTACGCTGGAATCAGACGCCAGATCAGGGAGAACCATAAAAAATATACCAATAAAACTTTATTCTTCTGACAGAGAAACGTCGTCTTTGTGCCGCTGGACAGGATGAGAGAGAGAGAGAGAGAGAGAGAGAGAGCGAGAGAGAGAGAGAGCGAGAGAGCGAGAGCGAGAGAGAGAGACTGAACCAGACTGAACGGGTTAACTGGGAGAGAGGAAAAAGATCAGCTGAGACCGGTGTCCCATCTATCGCTGAGATCGGAGAATAAGGCAGCTGTCAGTTCAAATACAGACATAGGAACTGGTGTGTGTGTGTGTGTGTGTGTGTGTGTGCTGTGAGAGGCTGCAGCATGGACCCGGTGATCGGGGGCTGATGAGGCTTTGATGCATCTGTCTTGTTGCTTTTCTGCCAGGCGGGGACAAGACGCCCGTCCACACGTCTCAGCTGACCAATTAGGTGCTGCGGGATGTTAGAACCAATCACAGACGTGTTCTTGTGTGTGAGTGTGCAGAGATTAGATAGGTGTGTGTGTGTGTGTGTGGGGGGGGGGGGGGGGGGGTCCCCTATCATACAGTAATGTTTAACCCCTTCTTTCCACTCAGATGAAGCTTTCTGCTAACAAGCCTTTGGGAAAAATCGGGATTACTACTCCAATGATAACCCCTGAGCTGACTCTGCACGCACACGCACGCATGCACACACACACGCATGCACGCACACACACAGCCTGTAGAGATGGCCTGCAGCCAGGACAACGAGAACCCCACCGACAGAGCGAGGCTGCAGACAAGAGCGAAACGGAGCGCTGAAAGGCCAAAGCTACGGCAGAACAAGTGAAGAGTGAACGGCAGCGTGAGCCGCTCCGCAGCACGCCACGCCGCCGGGGTCACCAGAAGTCTGAGTCGGGAGCTGGTCTGGTTCTGCTGGACTGGCCTGAGCTGTTTATGAAACAAATGTACACCCCCCCCCCCCCCCCGTTTTTGTCCTCCAACCAGACTGTAAACTGTAAACGTCTCTGTCTGTCTGACCACTGAAAAAAATCCACTTATTAAAATAAAAACCCTGAATCGATCATTAAAATGTCTTTTAGATAAAATTTCTTAAATCCTTTTATTTAGAACCTATAAAGATATATTCTTTTTGTGTTGTTAGAGCTCAGGTTGCATTATTTTACATGCTTTAAAAACAAGCCGTGCATCTGCAGTACGTGTGTGTGTGTGTGTGTGTGTGTTAGAGGTTTAGGATGATGGCAGTGCTGTGCATGTGCGTGTGTGTGTTTGCTGGTTTAGTTAAACACCATCTATGACTGTTAGACGAGCTCTCGCTGGTGAACCTGGTTTCTGAGACTATTCTGAAGTTTACGAGCTGTTTGAGGTAAGAAGGCGAGTCGCCTCTTCCTCCTCGCCCTGCAAGGTTTTCCTGGTACCTCCTTCATCCTCTGTCCTCTCCTCATATCTCCCTAGACCTCATGGGATTTCTGTGAGACGAGCCGTGATGATTCCACGCTGGAGAGAGGGCTGACACAGGAGAGGGACAGAGAAAGAGAGGACAGTAAACCAGAGAGTCAAACTCCCTCCGTGTGCACGTCTCAGCGTTTTTACAGGCCTGTGTGGCCGTGAACAGTTCAGCCCTCCAAGCTTGAGTCGTTTGTGGATCTGATGAACGTAGAGCGATAGGCTTCCCTGAGTGGAGTGGGCCAGGTTTAAGAGTCCGTCCTGTCCCACTCATCAGTCCTAGAGACGCTTCGTTTTAGTCCCACTGATCATTTACGAGCCCATCTCCGTCCCTGCCTGTCCTTTGCACTCCTCCACGTTGCAGCGGGGCTCTCGGGGTTAGATGCAGGCACTTAAAAGTCCCGTCGTCCTGTGGGTAAAGTTGTGTGTGTGTGTGATGGTCCTGTAAGAGAGTGTGTCTCCTGAGGAAAGAGCTGCTGATCCCGTGGGAGACATGCTACTGGAGCAGGGATTCTGGAGCTTGACTGACCAGGTGGAGGATGATTTTAGAGCCAGTGTGGCTGAGTCAGAGTAAGGATGCATCCCGGAGGAGCCCCCATCCAGGGAAGATGGTGGGTCTGACAAAGAGAATCTGGGCTGCCTTCTGTCAGTTTTACGATTGCGCACGTTGGACTCTGCTCTCGGGTCACTGGAGATTTCAGGAGTCTAGTTTGTCAGAGTGGGAGTGGGATTTGGGAGGAATCGTTTACATGCTCCCGTCCCACCCCTCGGACTACTGGAGCGATAGTGTTTGGGCTGAGGTCCCCATCAGCAGTCTTTATTCTCCAGAGAGAGCTGCGCAGCAGCGCGGTGCAGCTCAGCACTCGCCCTCCGGTGAGAAGCCTGCGGCGTCGCTAACGAGCCTTCATAAGCTAACAGGGGAGGACTATCCCCCTCTCCGCTGCCTGTCCCGTCCTCCTCCATGTCCACACACCCGTTTCTTTGCCTCTCTCTAATCCTCTCCGCCTCTGGTCGAACTTTTTTATCATCGGACTCTTCCTGAGAGGCCTCCATACGCTGGTCTTCGCTCCAGCGCCTCTTGAAGCGCAGCTTGAGCGGGATGCACTTGGTGTGAGTGGACTCTGCCGACAGCGTGAGAGAAGGGGGGGCGTCTCTTTCTCCCGCCTCTACCGGTTCGGTCTTGACGGCGGTCAGCCCGCGATGTGAGCCGGAGTAGTGAATGTGGTGCGAGGTGAAGAACGGCAGCAGGCCAGGAGGAGGAGGAGCCGGGGCTTTGAAGACGTCCTCATCCAGATCCTCGTCGTGGTGCTGGGAGGTGCCGCTGCCGTTGGAAAGGTGGTGATGGTTGGAAACTCTGGAGTGGCGAGAGTAAAGCTCAAACTCGTTTTCCCTCTCATCTGGGTCTTCATCGCTGATGTCCGTCACCTCCACCTCTTCCTCTGACTCGATGTCAGAGATGGGCTCCACCTGAGGAGTCGAGTAAAAACACAAGATTTAATCACAGCTCATCTGTTAAAATCTCACGTTTCTCTAACTAAAGAGTGGGATTAAACAAATAAGCACCGCAGAGTCCAGAGTGACTATTCTTACCTTGATCTTCGGGAGTCCTGCGCTGTTTAGTGACTGCGTTGAGGATGAAGCAGAGATGACCCCCGAGCCGCTGGCGGAGCTCAGGTCGCTGCCGAACGACAGCGACGACCCCAGACCAGACGTAGAGGACATGGACCCGGATCCAGAGGACAAGGAGCTCTGTCTGGGTTTACTCTGGCTCTGTCCTTCTCTCTGCTTCCGTCCCAGCGGAGGCGGCTGCAGCTTGAACTTAAACGGGGACATGTGTGGGGGCTCCTCTCCCAGGTGGAGCGCGTGGTGCATGGAATGGGAGTGAGGGTGAGGGTGAGCAGAGTGGGGAGGCTGTGGGTGGTGGTGGGCGGAGTGAGCCAAAGACGGATGGTGGTGTCGGTCTCCTCCCCTGTCTCCTGCCCCGGCTGTGGCGGCTCTCTCGGCGGCTCCTCTGTCGGCGGTCAGGCCCGACTTGTCGGCGGCGGGCCGGTGGGGCTGAGGGATGACGATGTTGGGGTACTGGAGGAACGCTCGGGGGCTGAGGCCGTAGTTGTACACCGACTGGGTGTGGGCCTGCAGGTAGCGCTTCATGTCCTCTGGGTTGAAAGAGAAGTGTGAGCCCAACATGGGTGAAAGCGTGGGTGAGGGAGTGTAGGCGAGGTGGGATGTAGGGGTCATGGAGAGTGCTGGAGACAGAGGAGGAGCTAAGAGGTTGGCTCCTGGCAGAGGGGACACAGGGAAGGGGGACAGGGGCTCCTGGGGGAGACGATGTCCCGTGGGGCCACGGGAGCCTGGGTGTCCGGTGGGGTTACCTGGTGCTCCATACATCCGAAACAGGGTCTCATGAGACAGTCGTGGATGGACGATGCTCCGGTAGCCTCCTCCACCGCCGGGGCCTCCTCCCCTCTCTCCCCTCTCCTCCCCCGCTCCCACGTTGCCCTCCTCGATCTCTGAATTGACGGAGGTGCCGTCGCTGCAGTCGCTGACCGAGCCGCGGGCCATCCGCCGGGCCACCGAGCTGAACATGCCCCCGGGGCTGCGCAGGTCCTCGTTGGGGGACAGGACCTCTGAGGGCGTGGAGGGGGGGAAGCGGAAATGGGTCCCCGCTCCGGTTGGGACAGGAGGGGCACTCTGAGGAACGCTGCTTCCTGGAAAAACATCAGAAACAGGAGGAGAATTCTGAGAAATAATATTCAACACTCTGTAGTTTAATCCAGCGTAATCACGAGGGATTATGGGATATGGAGGCAGAGTCCAGGCTTACCAGTGGAGCCCATGTCGATGAAGGGGTAGTTCACCAAAACCAGTTTGTTGAAGTTGAACTTGTAAGTAAACCGCTTCCCTTTGGTCTTATGGAGGATCCTCTTGTTGTAATAATATCTGAAAAGTAACAAAAACCAAATAAACGTTAACGACGAAACTTTCCTGAGGCGTGTGGCGCTCGACTCAAAACACGGGCCTCATTCCATCTGCATCACAGAGGCTGTGACAGATGTGCTCGGACACACTTTAATAAGCACAAGTCTTTCATGCGCCCCTCACCGCCGATATTACCGAGTGTTGTGTGACATTTGCACAAAGCAGACCCAGAAAGAAGAAACGAGGGGGAGGAGAAGATGAGAGAAAACAGACAGATGAGAAACGGAGGATGGACGGGGATGCTGTGCGTCAGGCTAAGCAAATAATTAGAGAGATCAGAGGCCGGCGTGAGCGGCGTGACCACCGCGGGGAAAGTTTGGGGGGGGGGGGGGGGGGGGGGGGGGCTGGAGCGGCCGGGTGGAGGCTCAACAGGTGTGTGGATGTGTCAGGAGCGCCTTTTCGTTTAACGACATCGTTTTATGTAACAGAAAAGCAAAGCCACTAATAACTCTGCCCATCTTTATCTGTTTATGTAATGACCCCCCCCCCCCCACACACACACACACACCACGAGGCTCCATTTTTATTAACCTTTGTCCATTTTTATGTAACATCTCTCCTTTCTTATCCACATCATCTTTACGTAAGCTCCAGATCTGCGACGGCCGAGCGTGACGCGGCGAGAGAGAGAGAGAGAGAGGAGGAGACGAAGAGCAGCGAAGGACAAACAAATGTTTTCTTCGTGTTTGAAAGAAACAAGCTTGTGCGCCGCTACGTTTGCCAAACGACCGCGGTTCTGCTTTCGGCAGCCTCTGGTTCTAAGATGCAGCCAGACTGCACTTTTCCCATCATGCCCCTGTGCTTTTACAGCAGCACACTTTGACTTCCCTTCCTCCGGCATGTGTTCGCTGCCAGAGATAAGAGCTTCTTCAAGGTATGCAGGTATTGTTGAGTTAATCAGAGTCCATTGACTATCATTACACTGAATGGTAGTAATCTCGTGTGTGTGTGTGTGTGTGTGTGGGGGGGGGGGGGGGGCGCCCTTCACCCCTCCCATTATGCTTATTACACAGACGTTTTGGCCCGTTTTTACTCTGGGAACAGACTGTTGCTCTTTTTCACTCATTCACCCCCCTACATTCATCCCATTCTGATACCTCCCGCCATCGCTGCTCTCCCACTTTCTCCCATCAACCGTCCTCCCCCCTTCTTCATCCCCGACTCTCTCCACTCATCCCCCGAGGCGACGGGGGAGTGAGGGAGAGACAGGACAGGCCTGCGCTGTTGAAAACATTGTTTATGCCAGGCACAAAGCAGCATGTAATTTCTGCTCTAGGGGAGACACTCACAAGGGTTGTGGGGAGGGAGGGGGGAGTCAAAAAGTAATCCTGAGCTAAAACCACAACAGCGGCGTGATCTTGTCAGATGCTGATAAAGTTACCAAGCTGTGTCTCGGTCCAGTATCGATACCAATTAGAAAGGAAGTAAATAGTTACTGGGACTAAACTGATTCCACTTTATTAAAGGGAAAATCTGAAGTGTTTCTGTGTCAAGCTCATAAATATTGGCCATTGTAAAGGCTTATTAATGGTCTCGTCCACAGAGGAAACACGTAATCAGTCACATACAAGCTAAACATGGAAACTTTGGTCAACCCCATAAACCCCTGCATAAACCGCACAAATAAAAATGACCGGAAAAGGGTCGGTCGCTTCTACGCAACAGGAAAATTAGCTTTCATGGCCGCGCCCACCTTGGCTTGCAAACCACAGGAGGAGAGAGTAGAGCGTGTCTCAGCTAGATGCTAATCGTTAGCATTAGTAACTCCACCACCGCAGAATTCCTCGTGCTATTTGTGGAGAACATCAACGTTGCAAATTTTACCCAAGAAACGAGAGCGACCGAAGGCAGCGGAAGAGTCTCGTTGCTGCTAGCCAATCAGAAAAGGGATGTTTGCGTATCATGAATAATAGTGAGCAAGGCTCATTATCCTGCTGTTACACCAGTTTTCAGTGAGTCACCTTAAGCCGGACGGACACTGTGCAACTTTTTCACTCGTAGCACTCAGCTTCAGCTCAAACTGTACGACTTCCTCACAGGGCAGATCTCACGAGTCATGCGCTCACACTGCACGTCTGGTAGCAACACGTCGGCCCTAAAAATATGCTAAAAATAGCAGTTTTTACACAACACGTCAGACTTTTTTGTCTTGCCTGTTGTCCTTCGGGAGTGCTGCAGGAGGACACACAGGGATTTATGGGGGTTGGATGAGGAAAACGAAATAAAGAAAGTAAATCTGTGTTTTATGATCAGTTTAATTTGACATGAACACGACAAACACGCTTTCTTGACAATCTTTGTGAGTAAAAAAACGTGTAGGAATGAAAACGAACAACATGTGTTATTAGGGAAATAGCGAGCGAGCGGCGTTGATGCAGGATTGCGCATGCGCCGTGAGCGGTTCTGATACTTTTTGGGTCGCAGCTGCTCGCAGCGCCGCTTCAACAGTGTGATACCCTCATGAAGGACGAGCGAAATATTAAACACGCCAGAAGTCCGTGCGACCTCACGACTGCTGATCAGTAGCTGGTCACGTGGTGTTAATCGCCTCTCGTAACCCCCTGTTCACTACACAACGCTCGGCGCAAAACTCGCCCCGGTCTCGAGGATTCTCGCACGACTGGAAAATCGGATCAAAAAAGTGAAAAAGTCACACAGTGTCCGCCCGGCTTTAGAGGAACAAATCAGACAGATCCAGTTAATTATTTTACACACAGTCCAAACAAATTCAAAACAAATCTAAACCGCGCATAATAAGTTTTTCACTCTCCGACCCAAACTCAGAATCTGTGATTTATGAAACATAACTTAAAGGTGTGGATCACTGAAAAACCATGTTTTAATGATTATTTCTGAATATAATGGATCACTGAGTGTTTCATGCAGGCTGAACATGAACATAGTCTCCTACACCTATCTCCTGCATTAGCTTCTGATAGAAAATAGACGGTGAAACTCTAGGATTAGAAAATCCTGACAGATCTACGTCACACTTTCACTTAACATTCATGGACTCACCCATCTGGACTCATAACGGGGAAGGCTGTTGTTGGTTTAGCGTCCAGGAAACAGCAGAGAACGTCTCGGCTAGTGAAGCTAACCGTTAGCATTAGCAAACCCACCACACAGCAGAACTCCTCCAGGCTTGTGTTATTTGTGGAGATAAAACATCAACGTTGGGAAACAGTCAGTGGTAGAATCGCGTTGTTTTCCAATCAGAGGAGAGATGTCGAAATATCAGGAAGTAAAAGAGTCCAAATCCTGTCATCTGAAGCTACTTTCTCCAGAGTACGACTTACAAGGCATTCATTCCTACTAGAGACCACTGCTAAATTATTGATTATCTAAACAAATGACACTTTTAAGACATTAAAATGTTCTGATGTTTCAACTTTTAGTTTTTAACACGACTTTGCAACAGTCAGAAAACGTTCAGCAATCATGCAAACCACTCAAGGCGACAAAACTCATACAGACGATGAAAGTGACGGTACGGGTCTAGAATCAAATTAGGAATCACGAAGTTGGAGGAAAGCAGCTCTGATGCAGAGGATCCTGGAATGGCACCAGAAAACAACCAGAGCACATGGCAACCCACCCCTTTCTCCACCCTGCACCCCCACCCCCGTTCTTACACGTCATACACGCAGACAGTCTTTGAAGAGCATTTGAACTCACTTCAAAAGAGAAGAAAGGGATTCTTTGAGTGCCTGTCTTTAGCTGCCCACCACACACACACACACCCCTCTACCATATCCTGTACCACCTCCTAAGATATATTAACGCGCTGCCCCTCTGCAGCTATTTCCAAGTCCTTCTGGACTGCAGAGCAGACAATCAGTGCAGGTATAGAGACACGAAATGCCTTTACAGAAACAAAACGATCTTTTTATCATCTCAGGTGTTTCTGTGAGTGATTCAGGGTCAGTTACAGATGTTCCACAGTCCAGAACGCTGTGATTAAAGTAAACAAAAAGAGCTAAAATACAACAGCTCCTGAATCATGTTTAACAGGCTAAAAAGTTTGAGTTTCAATAAAGCAACATTTGAGAAGAAAATACACCTGTAGGACATATCAGAAGTTAAAATAGCCCAGATGTCAGAAACGCCACTAAAACAGATCTAAAAGGGTAAAAGAAAACATCGAGTAATCATTTATGCTTCCAGTTTGGTTAGTTTCACCGCTGCTGTGGTTTGCAAAATGTGAAACG